TCTGAGCTTCAGAGACCTTTGATGATTTGTCCTCATAGGCTGGGGTGGGGAAGGGAAGGGAAGGGATGTTAGCCGATATTTTTTCTTCAGCTCTATTTCTGTTTTCCTAGACTTGCTTTTCTTCCCCATCTAAGAGTCTTTTTCTTGTTTATTTTATTTTTCATATTTTTCTATACTGTCTTCTGGTTGATAATGGAGGTGACATGGTTTTGATAGAACAGACACTATGTGGGTTAATTTTTCTCCTGAAGCTACTTAAAATGTCACCTCCCTGCAGATGACAACCTAAGGTTGTCAGAAACATTCATGCTATAAAACCAGTTTAGTTTACTCACCTTTTATTAGTGTTGCCTGCATAATAAAAAAATCATTGTTAACTTTATCAGAATATTGAAACTTGAACATCTCTTCACTGCGAACACAGAAGCAATTTCATTTTGAAGTGGCAAAGGGCAGAGTTTCTAATAAAAATGTAATTTGTAGCCTCTGACTGCAAAAGCTTCTAATGTGCTAATTCTCCTTTAAGTCTGTGTAACGTGGGTGAGATATCTGCTTAAACAGCTGCAATATCAAAGCCTTTACTTGTCATTATTATTTTTTTCCCTACAACAGTTTTGGTGAAATTTAAATACATTTTTAATAATAATTTCCTTTTATCTCATTATCAAATTAGTTTTACACTCCCTCAACATGAGTTAAATCACTTAACGACCATTTAAAAATCAACCATTAGGTCGGTTGAAATGGTTCCAACAAGATTCCTGGATGCAGGACAATTAATCTCTTAGGCCATCTTTGCTGTGTTTGGGCAGGAAGGCTCTTTGAGCTGTGAGAGGTGGTGGTGGCTGCTGCTCCAGCATCCCACATCCCTGCCCTGCACTGCAGGCACATCCCCAGTTCCTGCTGGCAGGGCTGCAGCCCCTCAGGCATCAATGACCATGGCACAGCAAGGGAGGGGCGTTGTGGGGTGTCTGGGAAGGGTTTTCTCTCACAAAGGAATTATCCAGCCCTGGCACAGCTGCCCAGGGCAGTGCTGGAGTCCCCATCCTTGGAGGGATGAACAGCCCTGTGGATGTGGCTGCTGGGACATGGGGCAGTGCTGGCCTTGGCAGTGCTGGGGAATGGTTGGACTAAAAGGTCTTTGAGGGATTTTGCAACCTAAACAATTCTGTGGCTCTGTGGTTCTGTCCTTCACCAAGCAAAATCCTTTTCCTTCTAACTCAGTGCTACTGAGAGCTTTTCTCAGTTCTTCCTTGACAATGGTAATGCACCCAGGTCCTACACTGGCACTGTGGATCCTGCTCCTGAGCACACTGCCTGGATCCTGAGCACACAGCCTGATCCCAAACACACTGCCTGATCACAAACACACTGCTCAGATCAAAAACACACAGCCTGATCCCAAACACACTGCCTGGATCCCAAACACACAGCCCAATCCCAAACACACTGCCCCATCCCAAACACACTGCCTGATCCCAAACACACTGCCCCATCCCAAACACACTGCTCAGATTCCAAACACACTGCCTCATCCCAAACACACTGCCTCATCCCAAACACACTGCCCGATCCCAAACACACTGCCTGATCCCAAACACACTGCCTGGATCCCAAACACACTGCCTGATCCCAAACACACTGCCTGGATCCCAGGGACATCCCCTGTGATTAGGCACTGGCTGTGATCCCATCCCAGCTGCCTTTAGCTCCATCTGATCATTTTCAAATGCTTGGTTTGGGTCTTTTTGATGTTTCCCTTGAGCAAATGGGGCTGAGATAAAAGCCTGGAGGGACCAGAGTGAGAGTTCCCATGGGAAACCCCAATAGCTGCAAACCACCGAGTGCCAATTGTGCTGCACCTCAGGGCCGAGGGGGAGAACGCTGTTCAGTCACTGTAGGTGACTTGGCTTTCTTCAGCTGGAGAAATGCTTTCATTCTGGATTATTGGTCATTAGCCACCCTGGGAAAAAAACAGTAAATTGGGTAGGAGATGCTTCAGAACCGGGCTGTGCTTCTGCCACAGCTGGCAGTCCCCTTCTGCTTTTTGTTCCCAGGTGGAAATGCACAGACCAACCAAGGGTCAGTCACGGCCCCCTGCCACCCAAATCTTGCTCTGTACACCCAGCACAGGCAGCATGGAAACAAGGAAACCAACAGGAAGAACCTTGTTCCTCTGCTGGCAGGAATGGTTGCCTGGGGCTGTCTGGCAGTCTGGCTTTAGCTTTTGGTGGGAATTTGGTTTCCTGTGCCTCTATCCATGTGGAAGGCACCAAGAGTCCTGCTGGAGGCAGTGCCTGGAGAGCCCAGCTGTGCTGGGTGAGAGGGGCAGCACAGCCTGGAGTGGGTTGGTGTTTTGGTTCCTGATGTCCCACGGCAGTTCAGCTGGGAGATCCCTTGGACACTTCCCAGTTTCCCACACAGAGAGGGCAGCAGCTTCTCCCTGTGAGCAGCTGTAAGTGGCCAAACCTTATTCCAAAGCCATGCTGTAGTCGGAAAAGTTGAGTGTGTCTTGCAGGGGCCCGCTGGAGTTTGAGGTCAGTTATTTTTACTTCTCTGCGTTGTTCTCTCAGATGTTTGACTCTCTCAGAACAATGGCTCCCACCACGCTGCAGCCATTGCCCTGTGCCACAGCTGCTCCAACCTCCTCCCATGCCGTGCCAAGGATCTCATCTTCTTACTTTAGCTAAATATAGTGTTTTCAAGCTCTTGTGGAGAGCCTAATCCATACCTTTACTGAGCTTAGCCAGCTGAATCCAGGGGCATAAGCAGCTGACACAGCTTTGTGGGTAGAGGAATCCTCTACATTCTCTTACACTTGCCCTAATCTACCAAGGTTTGTTTAATTTTTCTACTGATTAATCTGGTATTTTTCTACTATTTTTTCTGGTATTTTCTACCAATCTGATTTTTTTCCTCTATATATGTACAGGCTTCTGAGGACTGGATAGTTGTGATGGTGATTTTTCCTGTTGGCAAACTTCAGTTTTCTGTGCTGGCTTCCCAAGGACACACAGTAATTTTGTATTTTTCCAAGTAACTGTTTAATGAAAAAAATTCCAAAATAATGTTTTCTGTTCCCAGTCTGGCTTCACAGAGATGAGAGTGTCTCTGGCTTTAGTTGCAGAGCTTCTGTCAGCCTGGGCTCTTTGTTTTGAAGGGAGCTGGCTCCCACACTGACAGTTGCAACAGGGGCACCATACCCACCAAGGTTTCAGGCAGGATCTTATTCTGACAGAACAGTTACAATGGATATAAAAAGGATGTGCTGCTGTATCTTAGCTAGTTTGGCCTTTCCCAGCGTGGTTGCAGCCTTGGTGTTGTTGCTGCTGTTCTGTGCAGCAGGTGTGGCTGTGGTTTGCCATGGTGACATGCGCCACCGAGGGCCTCGGGGTCAGCAGGGTTTCAAAGCCACCTCTGGCAATGGGGGCTCACATTTGAGCAGCTGCTGCCCTGCCCCAGGTGCGCCTGTGTTGGCTCTGGGACACCTGCATACCCTGCCGGGGGCACCCAGAGCCCTCAGGGAGTGGGTGCAGGACTCTCATGGGAGGGGTGGGCACAGGATTGTGTGTTATCCTCCTTCATCAGCACCCAGGTCAGGGCTTTCCTGCTTCTGGACCAGCACCGGGTGCTGCTGGTGTGTCCAACCTGTGTGAACTTCTCCCATTGCTGAACGATTTTTGGACACACTGGTGTCCTGCAGGGCTTGAACGGAGCGAGAATGCTCTGGGAGGTTCTGGGAGGTGCTTGGTGGAACTGGCTCACTCTGCTGCCTGGCTTTGGGCTGGAGCAGCCATCCTCTGCTCTGCTTCCTCTGTGCAGAAACAGGAACCATAAACTCTGAACTCCTGCTCTCGTCAGTGCTCAGCCGTGCTGGGGAATGCCAGGAGACAGAATGTGGCCTTGTGCGTGGAGGTGGCACTGTGTGACCCCTGCCCATGCCTTTCCCTTGGCAGAAAAGCAGTGCTGTTGCTCTCTGTGAGCTGAGGGGCACTGAGAGGTGCTCTCTGCTGATTCAGAGCAGTGGCAGCTCTTCCCTGCGCCCTGCAGAGCACTGAAGAGGCATTTCAGGAGATGGAGAAAGCCCAGGAGAGCCCTGGGCATGGTGTGATCCAGCCTTCCTTGTGTAGGAGCTTAGGGTGCCTCTGATGCCCCTGGTGGGTGACCTCACCTATCTAAGCTCCCATGGAGCCCAGGCACAGGGATGGATCCCACAGCACTCCACAGAGCCCTTTTCCCCTTTTCCCTGTGTGCTGCCCTGCAGCCTGGGCTGCTCCTGACTCAGGCAGCAGGAGCAGAGCCCCCTTTGCCCTTCCTCCGTGGCCAGGACAGTGCCACACTGCACCTGGATTCTTTGGCTGGCTGCTTGGCACTTGGACTGTGCAGCAGCTTCTTGTTTTGGGTGCTTCAATGCTCAGCTGTGTGCCTGGCTCCTCCCAGCCTGTGCTCCCAAGGATTGTCCATGGGCATGCCCAGGGCTGCTGCTGGTGCGTCCCATCCAAACCCACCTCAGTGGGAGTGCTGGGCTGGGTGTCTGCTCCACCTCCTCATCCTCCTGCACTGCAGCAGAGGTGGGACCTGTGGAAGTTGTGCACATGGCATCCCTTGCCAAGATCCCTCTGGTGCTTCACAGCTGCCCACACATACTTTGTGAAGGTGTGTTTGTTTTGTTAATCGGGTTTGTGTGGGACGGTACTGGGAGAACTCTGTGTAGGTGCAAAATAGTCTCCTTGGGGAAAAAGACCAGCTCTGGGTCTCTCTGCCACATTTTCATGGAGTTCCACAGTGGGCTACTGGGTGGGCTTCTGGCTGGCAGCTTTTGGAAGCCCTCAGAAATGTAGGCTACAAAAAGCCAGTGTGTACCAGTGTGCAGGGGCCCAAAGCTGGCACGGGGTGCTGCTTGTCAGTGCAGCTGCATGACAAACACGTGGGGCTGTATTCTTCATTGGCATGTTTGAGCATAGTCAGGCTAATGTCAGATTTACCTTCTTGTGTTCCAGCTGTGTTGGTGTGGAAGAAGAAGAGGCACCAGACATTGACATCTATCATTGTCCAAATTGTGAGAAAACCCACGGAAAGTCGACCTGTAAGTACCCCTGTGAGCCAGTCCCTGACACGCAGCAGGGTGGGGATGTCTGAACAACAGGAGCTTTTTGTTTCGGTCATTACCAAAGGCACGCCTCAGTATCATGTGCCACAAATATTGGAATTCAAACCAGGAGGTGAAGAAAGATGTTGGTGGGAGGAAGCTGCAGGTTGGATCATGGAGCTTTTGCTGCAGCCTTGGGCACAGGTGTGAGCTCATGCAGGCACTTACCTGGAGAACTGCAGTCCCCAGCCCCACAAAAACCTGAGGGTCCTTCCTGGGTTGAACTGTGCCCACGCTCAGTACTGTGGGCTAGAGAAACCCTGTGGAGGCAGCTAAGTGCTAATACAGGGAGTTTTGGAACCTGCGTGGGGTTTTCTGTCTGCAGAGGAGAAGAGTAAGAAGCAGTTTGTTGTGCTTGGCCTGGATGTAGAATTGCAGGGATTTCAGTGTCAGTCAAAATTGTAGGATACACTGAGGGTGCCAATTCTTGCATTTCTTTCATAGGAAAAGGATTCTCCTGAGCAAAAGTGACAGTTGATCTCAGTGGGTGTTTTGTCTGGGAAGGAATCGTGGGATGTGTTTGCTTTGGTCAGATTAATTCACAAATTCTTTCTATTATACAATGGAGAAAAAAAAAAGGAAACCAATCCCTGTGAAAGATGAAATGCTTTGCTTGAAAACCAGTTATTATAAATAAGAAACAGTGGCAGGGAGGATCCTGCTGCTCTGCAACCTGAGGGCATCCTGCAGAGGAAGAGCACTGTGCTCATCTGCTGGAGCTGAGGGAATCCTGATGACCTTCTATTTAGTGTGAAATAAGGGATGACTGGGAAGTGACTCCTGTTGTGTTAAAATTCAGAATTTTTAACCCAAGCAATTATTTCTATATTGCCTTAATTGTTAAAGTTTAAGAAATTTCTAGTGGGAATGGGGTGGAGTCTGAAGTGTTTGTTTTGTGGGCAAAAAGTAGAATTGTATTTCCATGGGATTTTTTAAAAATCAAATGTGAACTGGAAACCTGAATGACCTGCAGCTGCTCCTGTCTTCCAGAGGGTCCAGCTGGGAAGCTGGCAAAATTGAGAAGCTGGCAAAATCCCTGTTGGGGGGCTGGTTCTGAAGGACTTAAGAAAATCAGGATGTCCCTACAAAATGTTGTGGTTTGAAGGGATCAGCCTTTCTAGTGTTTTGTTTTCCTGGTTACACAAATAACCACAAATCATTTTGAAGTGAATGATTTGGGATTGGAGGGGGTGATTGCAGGCACTGTTCCTAAGCCAGGATCTCCACCCCCTGAGTCTGTCAGTGCACAACCCTGAGATGCATCTGATACTTTGATTCTTTCACTTTTTAAAAAAAATATAAATTATGAAAGGCACCTACTTTTCAGGGCAAGGGGGAAAACCCAGTCAGAAGCAGCAAAAGCCTATAATCAGGAATTGAACATCAGTTCTATAAAAACTAGGGTGCATCATCCTAGAATTCAAGACATGGCAGTTTTGATAAAAAGATTGCAAGTTTAATATACCAGTTATGATGAGGAGAGTTGAACTGACAACAACATTCTGATGCTTTTTAAAAGGTTTCTGTCTATCCAGTTATTTATATCCAAATAAAAATCCACAGATGTGTCCCAGAGCATTCAACCCAGCAGAAAGTGCTGCTGGAGCAGAGTTCCAGCCCTTGCCATGGGCTCAGACACCTCCCACTGTCCCAGGTGCTCCCAGCCCTGCCCAGCCTGGCCTTGGGCACTGCCAGGGATCCAGGGGCAGCCACAGCTGCTCTGGGCACCCTGTGCCAGGGCCTGCCCACCCTCCTAGGGAACAATTCCCAATCTCCCATCCATCGCTGCCCTCTGGCACTGGGAGCCATTCCCTGTGTCCTGTCCCTCCATCCCTTGTCCCCCGTCCCTCTCCAGCTCTCCTGGAGCCCCTTCAGGCCCTGCAGGGGCTCTGAGCTCTCCCTGGAGCTGCTCCTGTTCAGGTGAGCACCCCCAGCTCTGCCAGCCTGGCTCCAGAGCAGAGGGATCCAGCCCTTGGAGCAGCTCTGTGGCCACCTCTGGGTCTCTCCAGCAGCTCCACGTCCTTCTGATGTTGCTGCCTGCAGATCTGTGGCAGCTCAGGGTCTCAGAAGGCTTCCCTTGACCCTCTTCCCTCTGGGGATGCAGCATGGTGGGAATACAGACCAACATCCATTCTGTAGGGCAGCAAGGACACTTCCTTTTCTCTCTTTGCATACAGCACAGGCAGTTTAATGACGTGCAACACCAATCTTCAAAGAAGTGAAGTGCAAAAATTTTATTTAAATATAAATCATTGCTATCCTTACCTTGAGTTTTGGTGGCAAGCTCACAAGCTGCATAGTAATTCTCCCTGATAGTGTGTAGAGTCGTGGATTCTGTGGGAAAAGGAGGCTGTTCTACTCTAGCCCATCCTTGCAGGGTACTCCAGGCCAGGGGAGTTGGAAGCTGGAGGAAGTGAAGGAGGGAGCGGCTTGGCTGGTGAATTCCATCTCTGGAATCTGCATGGAGGATATCCTGCTGCAGGGCTTGGGCACTGCTGGGAGATCGCTTCCTTTGCTTATTAACTGCTCCAGAATCTGTTCAGACCCGTTATCCAGCACTATCAGCTCTGCAAAGGAGTAGGAGTTGTTCCAGCACCAGTAGTTCATGGTAGGATTTAATTATTGTGAGATTAGCTAAGGGAAACACAGACACCAATTGTCTGTTATGCAACTTGTCTGGATTTAAAAATATACATGTATTTCTGGAGCTTGCCTTCCACCAGATATGTTTTCCAGATGTCAAATTTAAAAATCGTTTTCCTCTCCTTACATTTTTCCACATTACCACTGTGGCCAGTGGCTGCTCTCAGAAGATTGCTTCCTGTCACATGGCATTTTAAGCCATTCCCGCTTAATGAAATGTGTAGGGACTTCTCTTTGGGAAAAATCATCCATATTCATCCAACATTTTCTGACATCATTTCAAGAAAATGTAAGGGCTTCATTTGGGCAGGCTTGGCTCGTTTTCATAGCACAGTCTCAAATGCTGGGTTTGATTGCTGCCTCATTTGCCACCGTGAAAATCAGGAGAAATCCTTTGGAATCAGTGGAGTTACAGAGCTGCAAGTGAGCCAAAGGCTGTGGCTGGCTTTAAGTGCTTCCAGCCTTGGCTGTTGATCAGTGGAGAGCTCACAGGGTGCTCCTGGGTATCCCTGCTCTAGGGAAGCTCCCTGGTCATGGCTAGAACACCATGGGCTTTAAAGCCAAGCAGTCATTTAGGTTGGAAAAACCTCCAAGATCACCTAATCCAGCCTGTGACTGATCACCAGCTTGTAAAGACCAGAGCACTGAGTGCCATGTCCTGCAGTTCCATGAGCACTTCCAGGGATGGGGACCCCACCCCTCCTTGGCAGCCCCGTCCCATGCCTGACCACCTTTCATTCTTGCCAACAATTCAGGTTGATGATCCCTTCTACACAAACAGCTTTGAAGCAATATATGTATACCTGTGAATTACTCATTTTGAGATACAGTTTTGTAAAAATGTATTCCCTTTTTCCAGTGTTGGACTTCCAAGGTTAAATCTGGATCAGAAAGATCTGGAGAAAAAGAAATCTGTGATAAATTACAAAAAAGTAGCTTTTCTGGCCCAAGCTGGGATCTGTTGCACATGAGAACGAGCCTTTAGTCCTTACTGTGGTGCTCATGGCAAAGATAAAATACAGAAAGTGTGGCTGAAAATGGCCAAGGTCAAGTGTTTGATGCAGTGTAATGGACTCCAGCTGCTGTCCAGGAGACAACCACTCGTGGGGAATGCTCTGGGGAGAGAATCCAGGCTGCCTCTGCAGGAGGGCTGGGTGGGCAGAGCTGGGTGGGAGAGCTGGATGGCAGAGCTGGATGGGAGACCTGGAAGGGAGAGCTGGATGGCAGAGCTGGATGGGAGACCTGGAAGGGAGAGCTGGATGGGCAGAGCTGGATGGGAGACCTGGAAGGGAGAGCTGGATGGCAGAGCTGGATGGCAGAGCTGGGTGGGCAGAGCTGGATGGCAGAGCTGGGTGGCAGAGCTGGGTGTCAGAGCTGGATGGGCAGAGCTGGATGGGCAGAGATGGGTGGGCAGAGCTGGATGGGCAGAGCTGGGTGGCAGAGCTGGATGGGCAGAGCTGGATGGGCAGAGCTGGATGGCAGAGCTGGGTGGCAGAGCTGGATGGGCAGAGCTGGATGGCAGAGCTGGGTGGCAGAGCTGGATGGCAGAGCTGGGTGGCAGGGCTGGGTGGGCAGAGCTGGGTGGCAGAGCTGGGTGGGGAGGTTCATGGGGAACTTGGGCCCCTGCCAGCTCTTGGTGCCAAGGCAAAGAGCTCCCCAGAGGCTGTGGCAGGTTTGCAGTGGATTTGTTAATTCAGCACTGATCCGTTGCCTTCGTTTCCCGACGCTTTGTGCTATCTGGTGTGTAATAAAGGAACGTGCTCAAGCTCTCTAATTTTCCTGTGGCAAGTGACACCTCTTTCCCTGGGACTTGTACTCAGAGTGCAATCAGCACACTCGAGGTGTGGATTGGGATATGCTGAGAGGGGGAGGCGGCGGAGGGTGGGAAGGGAGGGAGAGGAGGAAGGTTTGGCATTCAAGCCAGGCTTGTTTCCTTTGTTACCAGGAGCATTGAATTAATACACTAAGCCTGAGAGTCATTAAGATAAAGAACTAGCAGCTTTAATGAATATCTCCAGCTAGGCTGGAGCCTGCATGGAACTAATAAACCCAACATGCTTTGTGCAAAACCTGGGATGGACTCCCTGGGAGATGTCTTTCCTTGAGTTGTTCCAGGGCTGTGGTTGGGAAAGCAAAATTTGCTCTTTCCAAATTTCATGTGTTATATCTCTAGCCTCCAGATTCCTTTCTTAATGGAAAAGTGTATGGATCTGTGTGTGTGCAAAGAGTGAGGAGTGGGTGCCATCCGTGAGGAGTCTGTTGCCTTCCCTCACTGTTTTGATAAGAGGTCTGGACCTGGGGTGAAATACTGAGTTTCGTGATGTAAAACAAGGGTGGAAAATGAAAGTATGTGACATATGAGAATTTTATTAACAGAGGCTTTAAATGATACAAATGAGGAAAAACCTGGTTTCCTACCAAAGGGAGTTTCTCTGCACTCACTGTGGAAGCAGTGCTGAGGGAGATAGTGCTGACTCAGGGAAAAAGCAGGACCAGTTTTTCTTGCTTTGTGTTATCTGGCTGTCAGAGGCAGGGCAAAACCACACTGAAACCTGACTGGCTCACGTGTGCTCATTCCTGCTGGCCCTTTATCCCTGCTGGACTGTCCTGTGTGTCCATCCCTCACTGGGAGCACCGTCAAGGGGCCTCAATCAGCTGCAGCTCTGAGCCATAAGAAATTCCCTTCCCTGCACTTCTAGCAACTACTTAATTTTCCTTTTCCTTTTCCTTTTCCTTTTCCTTTTCCTTTTCCTTTTCCTTTTCCTTTTCCTTTTCCTTTTCCTTTTCCTTTTCCTTTTCCTTTTCNCTTTTCCTTTTCCTTTTCCTTTTCCTTTTCCTTTTCCTTTTCCTTTTCCTTTTCCTTTTCCTTTTCCTTTTCCTTTTCCTTTTCCTTTTCCTTTTCCTTCCCTGTCCATGCGGTGTGCAGGGCACACTAAAATCTCATCAAACTTGGTGTCAAACGCAGCACTACTGGACAGAGCTTTATTCTGAGGTGATTCCTGACGAATGCAGCAATCCCACAGAATGATAATTCCCACAGATCCATCCTGCAGGTTGTGCCAAGGCGATTTCAGGGAGTTTCCTGGTGAGGATGAGGGTCAGTGTGAGAGCCCAGGGTGTCCAGAGCCAGTGCTTGTGTGAGGCTGCAGGCACTGCAGCTCAGCAATTACCCAACTGCTGCCCTCTGCTCCAAAATGCTCACTGCTCGCTCTGTAATGGATCTTCAGCTGCACCACAATTGTCTAATGGGGCACTGAGAGCAATATTAAAATCTGCAGGGCAGCGTGGCGGGGGTTCCCTCCACTCTGCTCATGAGAGAAATTAAATGAAGATTCATCCTTCCTGCCAATGTCTTAATAATTACCTTCAACTTAACATAGCTGTCCAATTCGTTCTCTTTCAGTGAAAAAGAAAAGAAATTGGCATAAGCATGACACAGGCCAGCCAACGGAGGTGAAGCCTGTGCAGAACGGGAGCCAGGTGTTTATCAAGGAGCTGCGGAGCCGGACATTCCCCAGGTGGGTTTGCTGTGCACGGGGTGCAGGGGCAGAGCTGGGCTCCTGGGAGGCTGGGGATGCTCTGTGCTGGAAGCATTGAGCAGTATTGGTGATTAAATCAGTGCTGTTTGATTGCAGGTGTCCCAGGCTCTTCCCCTTTTCACATTTGTGCAGCTGTATTCAGATCTCCTCTCAGCTGAGCCCAGTGCCTGCGCATTTCCATAGGTGCTGGGATTTGGGAAGGCAAGGATGATGGAATCAGAGAATAGTTTGGGTGGGAAGGGACCTCAAAGCCCATCCAGTGCCACCCCTGCCATGGCAGGGACACCTCCCACTGTCCCAGGTGCTCCCAGCCCTGCCCAGCCTGGCCTTGGGCACTGCCAGGGATGCAGGGGCAGCCACAACTGCTCTGGGCACCCTGTGCCAGGGCCTGCCCACCCTCACGGGGAACAATTCCCAATTCCCAACACCCAATCTAAATCTCTCCTAGTTTAAAACTCTTCTCTCTTGCCCTATCACTATCTGCCTCTGGAGAAACTCACTCTTGCTGTTCTTTGTAAGCACCTTTAGGCACTAAAAGTGGGTCTGGGAATTCCCCAGAGCCTTCTCTTCTCCAGGCTGAACCAGAGAGTGTTTGGCCCCTAGAACATCCATTTGCATAAGAAACTAACCCACTTATTGCATAGAATTCTCCAGTTCTTAAAATTCTACCGACTTTGCTGAAGCCTGTGCCCATCTTGGGCAGAACAATGACATACTCAGTGGCTGGGTGACAAAGGCTCTCTCACTGGGCTAATGAATGGTGCTAATTGTTAGGTGACATGTCCCACATGTTATTAGGCTGCTCCACAGCCATTTGCAAGAGTGATCATTTTCTTTTGGCTCTTTAATGTAGGCTGTAACCAAATAAATCCTTAATTATTAATAACTAATTATTTTAGAAGAATCCTTGGAGACTGGCAAAGTAAACACAGAACTTCTTCCTTTTTGTGGAGAATTTAATTTTACACTTTATTTAAATACTAGTCTTAGGCTGCTTAAAGAAAAAACTGAAAACAGTCCTGTAAAGTATTTTGCAGCTTATACAGAGTGTTTTGTGTTTTGCTGAGCTCAGGATCCAGTATTTTTACTTGCCTGGCTATTTCCATTGGGGCCTGCAAGGTTTTTTATCTTTGCTGTTTGTCTTTTTCTTTTTTTTTTTTTTTTTGTAATTTGTAATTTGACAGGTTGCACAGCTCATTTTCAGAAAGATTTATGGCCCAGGCAGACTGACTTCAGTAACCTCAGGTGGCCTCTGCAGTCACACAAGCAGTATCTCTGAGTCACTCCAACACTGTTATAAATAATACAGCCCCCCATTTTTTCTCTTTGTTACTCATTAATGTATGCATAAGAAAATCCTGCTGCCACATGAAATCTCCTGAGACAGGAAGGTCTGCAGAACAAAGAAATGCCTGCAAGATCCAGGACTCAAACACAAAGTCTTGTGGAGGAATTTTCTCCCGCAAAGCAAATGAATGGGATGTGCAGATGGGACAGACCAGGCCCCAGCACCTGGAGGCTGCTGCAGGGCACAGGGGTCACACCTGGAGCATCACTGGTGACCCCCAGCATGAGGCAGGGAATGACAACCCCCAGTGAGTGCTTGGGAGGGGCTCAGGTCAGAAGGAACACTGAAGGGAGCAAAAAGGCAAAAAATATTATTCATGTAATTCTGTTCTAAAACATTTAATACCAAAATAGTGCTGGAGTAGCAAGAGTAGCAGTGAAAACAATTAAATTGATTATTCTCTGTGAGGGTGGGCAGGCCCTGGCACAGGTGCCCAGAGCAGCTGGGGCTGCCCCTGGATCCCTGGCAGTGCCCAAGGCCAGGCTGGACAGGGCTTGGAGCAGCCTGGGACAGTGGGAGGTGTCCCTGCCACTTCAAAGTGATCTGCAGAATACTTCCTGAGCACATTATTCAACTGCTTTACAATTATTTGCAAAGCATTTCTAGGGCCGTTTATTTGAGATTGGGTAACATTTTTAACCTCATCTTCTTTAGAGTGAAACATTTAACATTAATTCTTTAACACTGATCACTGGTAGCTCGACTGATGCTACAGCTGAGGAAAATGGTCTTTTGCCATAAGCTGTTGTTTTAGGACTTCCCAGTAGTTGGAGCATGAGGCTCGACTGATTGCATGATTTTTTGTGCCCTTTCTGCTTTGCAATAAATGGGGATTTGGCTTATGTACCTAATTTGCCCACAATTCCTTTTGCACAGTGTCTTCCTTTCAGCAGTGAAGTGCAGAACATCCCAAACTCGGCGTGGAGCTCCTCACCACTGAATCTGTGTTTGCTTTTGCAGTGCTGAAGACATAGTGGTGAAGGTGCCAGGCAGCCAGCTGACAGCAGAGTATTTGGAGGAGAAGGGCTTTGCTGAGCCCATCCTGGTGCCCAAGAAGGACGGGCTGGGCCTGGCTGTGCCTGCCCCCACCTTCTACGTCAGCGACGTCGAGAACTATGTCGGTGGGTACCTGGCATTGCAGTGCTTGCAGCTCAGCTGCTCCGCAGAAATAATTAGTTGTGTGGAAAATTGTAAAATGCATTCTAAAATATTGTCTGTGCCGTGAGCTGTGCTGGTCTCGGTGCAGCTTTTTAGGTAGTGGGGGGTTGTAGTTAGCAATTAAGTCATTCTTGTTTTGTGAGCCAGCCTGCACTGCTCTCCACAGCTCTGCATAAGCAGTACAGCCAAAGTAGCATCAAGGAATGGTTTTTCCAAATTTAGGACTACAAAAGCACCATTGGATAGGTATTTATATATATGCAGGCCTTTCGTGCATGTCTGTCTGTGTGGGTGCATACAAAAGCAACAGGGAGGATCCAAGAGCTGAAAAGGTCAGAAAATCAGAAGATTGAGATATTTCTGGGCAGGTTAACTCACCCCCAAGCACAGAAAAGGGGGCAAGGCAGGCTGTCCATCAACCTGTGCTCTCCACTGAATTCATGTGCAGGGCCGGAGCGGAGCGTCGATGTCACTGATGTCACCAAGCAGAAAGATTGCAAGATGAAGCTCAAGGAATTTGTGGATTATTACTACAGCACAAACAGGAAAAGAGTCTTAAATGTCACAAACCTGGAGTTCTCTGACACCAGGTAAGGGTCCAGCCTGATGCACAGTAATTACTACAGATTTATTTTGATTCATAATTTTTATTTAATCTATTATTTTGTATATAACATATTTCTATATAATAACATATCTGTATACTATACTACCCTATGTGTTTATTTTTGAATTATATTAATATTGCTCACATAGAATTATATCTATAAATTATAATTTTAAATTACTGAATCTCACATTGCGTCTGGGATATGTGGCTGGGTTCAGCCTCTGCTTTCCCCAGTGCTTTTCCTCCTTAGGGAAAGCTGTTTAGCAGCTTCTGGTTGCTCTGACTTTAGGTGTAGGGTAACATGTCACTGGGTGTCCTTTGAGGAGAATAACTTTGGAATTTTGTTATAATTCTGTCATCCTACAGCATGTGTTCTAGTTATGCTTTCAGTGCTTTTGCCAGCTAACCTGTGATCTGTCTGACAGCAGCTCAGGGTCAGGGTGGTGCTGGAGGTGATGGTGCAGATGAGAGAGATCAGATATTGGGAAGGAATTCCTCCCTGTGAGGGTGGGCAGGCCCTGGCACAGGGTGCCCAGAGCAGCTGTGGCTGCCCCTGGATCCCTGGCAGTGCCCAAGGCCAGGCTGGACAGGGNCTGTGAGGGTGGGCAGGCCCTGGCACAGGGTGCCCAGAGCAGCTGTGGCTGCCCCTGGATCCCTGGCAGTGCCCAAGGCCAGGCTGGACAGGGCTGGGAGCAGCCTGGGACAGGGGGAGGTGTCCCTGCCCAGGACAAGGTGGAAATGAGCTGCTCTTTGAGGTCCCTTCCAGCCCAAAGCAGCCCCTGATTCCATGATTAGCTGATGCCAATGCTGAGGGCACTGCCTGCTGCTCTCTGCAGCTGTGCTGCCATCACTGAGCACTGCTTTCCTTCCAGCAGTGGGCAGGGAGATACTCAACCCCAAAAGCTGTGCAGGTTATTTTCACAGGCCCTGGATCCTTTGGGGTGGCTGGTGCTTCCAGAAGGGAAGCACCAGGAAGAGGAAAAGATCCTTTTACACACAAACACACTACACAGATGATAATGAATGTCAGCAGAAAAACAAGGAATGGTTGTTGTGGGAGCATTCTGCTTCAGCACGGAGGCTGGAAAGGAAGCCTGGTGGATAATGACAAGCTCATTTTTCCCAGGCTGGGATTTAGTGGCTCACCCCCATCACTGCAGAGAGCAGCTTTGCTCACTGCAGGTTTGGGACCACTGGGATTCTCAGCAGAGATTTTTTCAGCTTTCTGCCATTTCCCCCAAATAATGGGATGTCTTTTTTCCTGAAGTACTGCTGCAGCTGTCGTTCATACTCCGCTGATCGAGACATAAATAGCAAATATTTTATTTCTTAGCATAGACAGTGACAGTTTAATTGAATGCACAGCTCCATCTTCCCTGCCATGGAAATGGAGTTATTGTCATTAGGGCTTGACACTGAGCACAATGACATGTGGGAGCATTTAATACTGGCTTGAAGTGCAGATACTTTTACTGACATGGTATTTTAGAGTGCCTAGCAGTGAATCTTCACCTTCTGCACTATCAGCTCAAATTTTGGACTATTTGAATCAAAAATTTAGCACATTCTAGGATGAAACATTTAATATCTGGTTGTCATGCCACTGCATTGTCTTAGCTGTGATTATAGTATATGTTATGTATTTGACAAAAACATAATATATGAATGACAAAAATAAATAAATAGGAACATATGTTCAGTGTGAATGAAGATAACTTTTGTATAAATTTAGATACATATCCACTAAGAGTATGTTCTTTATGTACATAAATAGATTAATTCATATAAATTATAGAAATATGTATTATATATCTTATATTTTAAATATATTCACATTTTCGTCCCAAGTTAGACCTTTTCCTTCTTCTGAGCTTTTGACATAATTTACTCCATCTAAATTAGATTGCTGATTTTCAGCATCAGATCAAGAGTTATTTACCGACAAGCATTAATGTTGTTGTTATTTGGAATATTAATATTAAGCTTGACTTGCTAATTTTTCTGGTTTACCAGGGGAGTTCTATCCAAGTGCACACATTTCACTTTCTCTTCTGGAGGGGGCTGGGAAGGTGACTGTGATCACAGCAGTGTTGGTCCCTCAGCCTGGGTAGCAGGGGCTGGAAAACTTCAACCATCACATATTTGATCATAGATGACACTGCTGAAAGAAGGCAAAGGATAGCTGTAAAGTCATCACACTTAAAAAAAACTTAAATCTTTGTCTGTAAACAGTTTTCCCTAATTTTCTGAATGACGAGCAGTTTCACGGCCACAAGAGGAGCTGCTCCAGTTTACCATGCAGGTTTTGTCACACTTGCTTCTTGCTGTACCAGGGTCCTGGTGCTCTGTTTTAAAAGCTGCCTGTCTGTTCTCCACTCTGTCTGTAAGGATGTCCAGCTTTGTAGAGCCTCCTGATATCGTTAAGAAGCTGTCCTGGGTGGAAAATTACTGGCCTGACGATGCTCTGCTGGCCAAACCCAAAGTGACCAAGTACTGCCTGATCTGCGTGAAGGACAGCTACACTGACTTCCACATAGACTCTGGGGGGGCCTCTGCCTGGTACCACGTGCTGAAGGTGAGGGAGCCTGGCTTTCAGCTGGAGCTAGTGACAAACTCCATTTTATCCACAAAGGCCATCGCAGAATTCTCTCCAAAATTCAGTTCTCAGCTTTTTTCGTCATTGTCTTGTTGCATCTGAGCCTTAACTGCTCTGAGTGCCCTCCCCAAGGTGCCAGGGTCTCCTGAGTGAGAAAGCACTTGGAGCATGGAAGTCCTCTGTGTATTTTCTCTCTATTAGGATTTTAATATTTGTTTAGTGCCTTCTGCAAAAATATCACCCTAGGCCTTAAAGATACCACGTCCTATTTTTGCAGTGTGATGGAACCTGGCGCTGTAAACATTTTGCACCATCACTCCTGCAAATCTGAGCAGATGTAGTCAGGTGTGATTTCATTATTTCAGCCCTTCTGTAAAAAGCTGACTAATTAATTTTATTTAAATACCGCCAAAATACACATACATGTATATTTAGATAGCTATTTTGTGTGTGTGTGTGTGTGTGTGTACGCCAGTGCAGTGTTGTTTGATTTGGCTGCTCATTGCTAATTTTATGTTTCTAATTCAGGGAGAAAAGATCTTTTATCTCATCAAACCAGCCTCTGCAAATATTTCTCTCTATGAACGCTGGCAGTCAGCAGCAAATCACAGTGAGATGTTTTTTGCAGACCAAGTAGATAAATGTTACAAATGCACTGTTAAACAAGGCCAGACACTCTTCATCCCATCAGGTGAGCAGCTGGGGCAGGAGGGCTTTCCTCATCCTTTAGAGCAGCACATCCAAAATGCCAGAGGGGTGGGATTTGACAACTCTCTCTGACAAAGTACGGAGAATAATTCTCAGTAGAGGTATTATTGAATGTCCTTACAAACAAAACAAATCAGAACTTTTACTGCTTTGCGTTAACATTTTAGCAGCCTTTTAAAAGTTAAACTTGTAGGGAGAGTGTTCCACTTGTGGTCTAGCTGGTTTGTAGTAACTCATGAGTTCTCTTTCTGTATCCACCATGGCATTGGTGCTTTCTGACATCTAACAGATTATTTACATGGAGTGAATCTGACCATGCATTCTGACCATGACACCCCCAAATCCTTGTCACAGACAGTAATCCCCTGTGACACTAAGGAACTACAGGCCACTGTGTGTGAGTAGATTCCTACACCAAATGTTAACGCACTTGAATTTTACCTTGGGTGTAGAAGTGAGAAGTAGATGTTTCTCTTATGACCATCTGTGGAGCAGATGGTGGAACAAACACAGAGCAATTTACAGAGATTCACGAACTTGAGTAGATTTTTGTATGAAAAGACGTGTTTGGAAAACACCTGATTGTGACACTGTGATAAAGCACGTCAGGGGCTGTTTCAGGTCTTTGTGGAGACAGGAAAGCAGCTGCCATTATATAGCAAAACAAAGAAGGGACCAGAGGCAGCTCTGTTCAAAGTGTGTGTGGTTCTGGGGCTGGGCTGTGTCGGTACCTGTGGAGCAAGATGTCAGTGAAGTGTAGACATCATTTGGGATTGAAGTCTGTGCTAATGGCCTTTGAGTTCTTGTCTTGAGGATTCTTCTCTCTCTTTTAGGCTGGATTTATGCAACTCTAACACCAGTAGACTGCCTGGCCTTTGCAGGACATTTTCTACACAGTCTAAGCGTGGAAATGCAGATGAGGTAATCTGTCTTTGAAATCTCATGTTATGTAGAGCTCATTTTTTTAATAAATCAGTAATAATCAATCACTGACAGGAATGCCGGTGTAGCTCTTGGGCAGTTTTGTCCCTCTGACCGTGCTCCCTCGTGCTGATTTATCCTGAGCTGTCCTTACAGCTGCAGACAAGGCACGGGAGGTGTCTGAGGGGCCTGGATTGATGTGGCCCCATCCTGAAGGCAGGTTACTCACTGCCTGGAGTTTTACCCTGGCACCTGCCACTCGCTGCTGGGTCAGCCCCCACCTGCTCAGCTGGGCTCTTTGCCCAGTGTAAGACAATGCAGTGAGTTCTTTACTGATTCTGGGCAGATAATGCCATAAAACCATCACACATCTGTATCTCAGTGTTTTACCAGTGCTGTCATGGTTTGCTTTTGGCCTGAGGCCAGCCTGTGTGGCAGCAGGACAAAGAGGGAACCCACTGCAAAGTGACCCTGCACTTCTGTGGCACACCATGCTCTGTCATGCTCAGTTTCCTGTGGCTTTTTCTTGCAGGGCCTATGAAGTGGAAAGGCGACTGAAAATCGTCAGTCTGACCCAGTTCCCCAACTTTGAAACGGCCTGTTGGTACATGGGGAAGCATCTGCTAGAGAAATTCAAAGGTAAAACTGCATTTGCTTGCTTGCCCTGATGGCTCAGCTGTGGGATCTGGGACAGCTCCCCTGAATTTCAGAGCCATAACTGACAGGAGCACAGGCTGGGAAGGCTCAGCTGGATTTGGGACACAGTAAAAGCACTGCTTACAACCATCAGGTTGTAGTAGGGATTCATTTGTGGGATCAGCTCTCAAAGAGTTAACTTCAGCTTTCCCAGTTACAATTTTCAAATTAAATGCTTTCTACAAACAACTGGAGCTGTCAGTGGGTGAATGACACTGTTTTTTTCTTTGCTTAGGTTTGCATAAAGCTGGACAACAACCTCCTGCTCATCTCCTTCAGGGAGCAAAGATTCTCAATGGTGCTTTCAGGTCGTGGACTAAAAAACAGGTAGGAGAGGAGGCCTAGATTAATATTATGTGTTTGTCAGTTGCTGGAGCAGAGAGGAAATTCTGGAATAAATAACGTCTCCATTGCAAAACATCCAATTCTAAGATGCCAAAGAGAAGGAGTTGGGAGAACAGGGGGTGAACAAAGCGATGTTGCAGTTGTGAAAATTAAATAATATCTGAAAAAAGATGATTGACTTTGTTGTTCTCTCAGGACAACTTGTTACAATAACATCCAGAATAGGAAAAAATCCAATTTTTTATTCATTTGAATGTCTAATGCAGTCAAGATTGATTTAAATACATAGGAAAAAATACAGACAAGTCACTTCAAGAGATTTTTTTTTTGTTTTTAAAGAAAGCATGCACAGAAACAGCAATTTGACTTTGTTGTGTTTCAGGCTTTAGCAGAGCATGAAGATGAACTACCAGAAAACTTCAAACCAGCACAACTCATCAAGGACCTTGCCAAAGAAATACGATTAAGTGAGGTTTGTGCTGTTTTTATAATATTTACTGTATTGGGGGTCCAGGCTATAAAATGCATGGAGGTATCACCCACTGAGTGTGGTACCAAATCCTGATGGGTGGTGATGTGTGACAGCAAAAGGTGACCAGAGCTGGCTCAGCTCCTTCAGGAAGACATTGTGCTGCATTCCACCCTGTTCCTAACCATATCCAGAAACCTCAAAACTGAAATCTTCGTGTCTTTTGATCCTCTTTGATGTAGTATTTAAGTTTTCTGATTGTCAGAATAGCAAGTTAAGCAGAAAATAATTTATTTTTAATTAGACTGTGTTAATTTTAATTGGGCAGCTATTTTACTGCTAATTTTTCCTGAGGGCGTGAAATGTGATTCTGCTATATTTATCGCATCAGAATTAAATGGAAAGGGTTTTTGCTCGAGCCAATCAGCATTTTAAGCAGAAAGCTGTTCATTTTATCCATCCTGTGTGGACAGCCCACGTGAGGGTATACAAGCCAAGCCTCTGGAGGTACTGCAGGCCAGGCTGGAGGATGTGGGGTGGGAACTGAGGGTGGGGATGGGTGAGCAGAGCGTGTTTGTGGCCTTGATGGGATCTTCATTCCTCAGTCAGACTGACCCGTGCTGCACATCCCCTCCACCACATCTCTGGGCATCCTGGGGTTGTTTCCCCATCTAACAGAGGGTGCAGGTAGATATCAAAAGCAGCACAGGTGTGCTTGAACCCCGTGTGCTTTGTGCCAACCCACAGAACGCTTCAAAGGCCAGCAAAGCAGACACGAGTGCCAACCCCCCGGCCGAGGAGATCTGTCCTGTGCAGAAGGAGGAGGCTCCGTCGCCCGTCCAAGCCACCCCTCCAGCCCCAACTCTAGAAAAGCTTCCTAAAAAAAAGACTCCCAAAACTGTGAAAACCCCCAAACAGCTGAAGCCATCCAAGCCCCCGAAGCCTCCCAAACCCCCCAAACCTCCCAAAACACCGAAAGTGAAGGGAGAAGGCAAAAAGAAAGGAAAGAAGGCGAAGGAGAGCCCACCACCAGCCATCCCCAACCTCGACTTGCTGGAGGCACACACGAAGGAGGCTCTGACCAAGATCGAGACGCCAAAGAAGGGGAAGGTGGGTCGTGCTTTAACCTCTCCCTTTTCTCCCACCCTCAGAGAGACAAAAGCACTCTGTAAGTCCCATGCAAAAAATAATATCCACTCACATTAAGAAGCAAAGGTTTGTAACTGCTGGCTCATTGCCCTTCTCTTCCCCAGCTGCTGTGTTTGATTGGACTCTTTGCTGGTGGTTCATTGATGTGGAGCCTCCCAGAAACCCACTGATATCAAAAGGTGTTAGTGATGAAAGAACTTGTTTCTAAAGTATCTCATTTGCTTGAAATGTTGCTCTAGAATGGGTGACTGAAAACAGAACAATAGATTTCTTCCACTTTGCCCATGTAGGACAAGTTTCTTTTTGATGTCCTTTAATTCTGATGCCCTGTAATTCAGCATGAATTTTGCTGCTGATTTCAGTAGGGGCCAGGATCCATCAAGGCTCTGACAGAGGAAATGTTGTATGCTGTTTGCAAAGAAATATCCATGTTTATGAAGAAAAATCTTTCCTAAAATGTTTTTGCAGTTCTAAGAGTTTGTGTGCAGTTTGTGAAACCTGTCATGGTGTGACAGAGAGGGATAGGAGAGTATTGGTGTATCAAGAAGTGCAGCTGCTATTCTGCACACTCTGAAGGAGCAATATTTAATTGAACCTTAATTTGGGATTCAAAAAGGATAAATGGGAGTTTTCAAAAATATGTCATGTTATTACCCAGATAAAGCCCGTGTTTGTGACATGCCAGCACTCCATCCTCATTGAGAGGACTTTTTCTTGACTTTTTTACCAGGCTGCAAAGAATGTTTTAAGTGTTCCCAATAAGGAATCTGCGAGCAAGCAGAATGAGGTGGAGAAATTTGAAGTTCGAGAGCAAAATAAAAGCAAAACAGAAGCCAAATGGAAATACAAGGTAATGTCTCCTGTTACATTGTGCCACATGATGATAAGCCAAGGGTAGGGAAATGCTTGTGGCTCTGCCTAAGCAGAGAGAATGAGACACCAGTTTTTAGTTCCCAAAGAAAAGAAAATTAAGCAGAAATAATCAATTAATCCCAATTAAAGGAAGAGGGGGTGGATGGACTCTTCAAAAGAATGTGCTGAATTGTCCATTTGTCCATAGTGACACCAGGCTGTTAAGAGTGAGATGGTTCAATGTGATCCCTGTTCTGACATAGTCCTACTAGTTTAAGTTTGAAATCAGTAACTAATGAGAAATCAATAACTAACTAATGGCTAATAACCAATAACTAATTTTAATGGCATAAAATGAGAGTTAATGAAATCTGAATTATGCCCTATGGATTAAAAGCTTGCCTTTTTTGAGGGCTAATGCAGGGTGAGTGAAATTCACCCATGGAATAGAACACTTTGTCTGCAGGGAAAATATGATAGGGTTTTTAATATAGGAAAATTTAACAGGCTTACATTCTGAGGGTACCTGGGATGCTGAAACATAAAGGACTCATTTAACTGATTTATTTATTTTGTTTTGGTCTTTTGCCTTTCAGAACAGCAAACCTGATTCACTTCTAAAAATGGAAGAGGAACATAAATCAGAAAAGACGCCTTTGTCCGGAAATAAAGACAACAAATTCACATTCTCTTTCTCTAATAAGAAGTTGCTTGGGTAAGTAAAAATATGACAACACACATCAACTGAAAAAGGAAATTGAAAGTTCATTGTTTATATTTTTTTATACAAGAGGATGAAAACCTGCCTTTCTGGTCAATGCAGAAAATACCCTCTCATTAAAACTTCTAGTGCTCTAGTCAGAGTCCTATTTTGAGGTATAAATAGTACATTCAGAGATGTGTTTATAAAATTATTCTAGTTGATTTGGCACCCCTGAAGGAATTCAGTTTGACTGAGATTTCTGCATAGAGATACTCATTGTCTGTCAAGTCACAAGCTGTTTTCTACTCAGAGTGTTACTAATTTGTAAATATTTTTTTTCAGTTCAAAGGGAGTCAAAACTCATCTGAATACCAGCGTGTTTGGGTCACTGCAGAATTTTAAAGAGGACAAAGCCAAACCTGTACGGGATGAATATGAATATGTGTCAGATGATGGTGAACTAAAAATTGATGAGTTTCCAATCAGAAGAAAGAAAAACACTGCAAAAAGAGAACTGCCCTGTAAGGATATTTCCTGGTTGATCTTTATCTGCTCAACAAAGTCTTAGGTGGTGATTGTCCAAAACAATCAATATCATCTTTAAAATCTATGTGATTTAGAATAAAGAAAGCCATGTCTTACCTATCAGTCAAATGTGAGTAGAATGGTAGGGCTGGTTTTTGAAGGGAAAAAACCCATGACTTTTTGTTTCTTTTTATTTATTCAGTTTTATCAGATAAAAAGGAAGCCCTGCATCACACTCCTGTCAAGAAGCCAAAGGTGGAGTCGGTACCATACAAGGTATGAGCTTACTGTACCTTCACAAGGAGACACTCCTAGAACATGAGGTTCTTTAAGGCCCTTTCCCACCCAGACCATTCTGTGCTTTTCTTCCTGTCATGTAGCAAGTCAAGTGTTTGCTTTGTGCCATTGGCACAACCCCTGTGCCCATTATGGGCTGACTCCAGAGCCCTGCTAACGCAGGTGAGCCCGGCCCAGCCCCTGCAGGGACAGAGAGCCTGGCTGGAGCTCACCTGCAGCATGGGACAGCCCAGGTGTCAGTGTGCCCTGTGTCTGAAGCTCAGTGCTGGAAATCAAAGTACATGGAAATTAAACGTTTTGCCCAACTGTGGTTAATACAAATTCATGTTATAATACCAGAATAAGTCAGAAAAAGCAAAATAGTTTGTTAAGACAGAACCAAAGATGACCAAAGTGTTTGGCCTTCAGTACTAAGGAGTTCCTTTCACCCTGGTTTGTGTCTGGGACATTCAGGGGGAAGTACAGACCTGTGTGTGAGTCAGTACCTGAGGGCTGGGGCTCTGTCCCTGTGCAGGAGCCTAAGGAGGGAGCACCTGGATACAAGACTGGCACCCACAGCAATAGGGGCTGGTGCTGCAGCAGCCTGAAAGCAGGGCAGGAAGGGGGGAGAACTTGTGTTCTTAGGCACCAAACCACAGTGCCAGAGAGAGGGCCAGATGTAGGCAGCTCCCTCCCAGAGCCTAACATGACACTGTTCTACATGTCTGTCCCATTCCTCTGCCTGGGGAATCCTCCCACTCTGCTGCTGTGGGGATGGAAACACCGCTGGTAAAGGGAATAGAGCCCATGAACAGGATCAGATCTCAGAGCTTTGGACGGGAAAAGAAAAACCTACCATGCCTTCAGGCTACAAGGAAATGGATTTTTACCACGTACTTGGTTTTGTTCTTTTTTTGTTTTGGTTTGTTTAAAGAAAGCAAATTCCAAAGGCTAGGCCTGTGTCTTTGGAGGAGCAGCAGGCTGCAGAAATCACTGTGCTGTTCTTGGGGACCAGCTCAGTGAGTTTCCACTTTTTTTAGCCCTTTCCTTGTTTTTGCAGAGCGAGGACTCATCAGATGAAGATTTACTCCACATTGACACAGAAGCAAAGCCAGGACGCAATTCCAAAGTAAAGAAAGAGAGTGGAAGTTCAGCAGGAATTCTTGATCTTTTGCAGGCAAGCAAGGAAGTTGGGGGTTTAGAGTATAACACCAACAGGTATGCACCAGGGGATGCTTTTCCCTCTTACCTGTGAACAAAATTGCCCTTTTGTGGTTGTGTGTGAGTCAGAATGAATTTTGCAGCTTGGTAACTGCTTTTTCTCCAATAAGCAAACTTTTCCTTTATCCTGTGACCTGGAGGGAGAGGGAGGAAAGACTTTGGTGGTATAATTTGAACAGAGGATTTCACATCTGTAGATGCTGAAGATCAGTTTTAGCAAAAATGCTGTATTAGATTAATAATTCAAATGGAAAGAGTTCAGTGACTGCAGCTTGAGGGTGGGAATTAAGGTTTTTAATGTAGTGATATTGTACTAAAGTTATCTAAATGGCATTTCTCCCATAAGGAACTCTAAGGTGCCACAAATGCCAGGTGTTTGAAAGAAGGATATAGGAAACTGTCTGCTTTCCCTAACCTCCCTCCCTCCCTCGGTTATCATTCTTCTTCCCACCAAAAAATAAGGCTTGAGGAAAAAAAGCACACTCTTTTGTGGGCACTTCTGTACCTGAGATGGAAATGTCTGCCTGGGCCAAGTGGTGTCTTATGTGGAATGTGGAAAGTGACTGGATGTTTTGGGCTATGGCCAGTAAGGTACAGCCCCAGATCCTTCAGTGATCCAAACAATGAGCAGTGGAAAGAAATAACCACATTAACACTTGCCTGCTTGACCATCCCTGTGAATTCCTTTTCCATTCTGCATTATGGTCCATAATAGGATGAGTGTTTATGTTGATGTTACAGTTACATTTTAGCAAGTGATTAGACACATCAAAAAGTACTTAGGTGTGTCTGACACTGTCATAAAGTTGCCGGGTTAATAAAACTCCCATACTGGAAGTTTGCTATAAAAAAAGGAAAATTATCAGCTATTATAGGAACTCAAAAAATCTTCCGTGGCCCTGTGTACACTGCTGGTCATTCTGTGGATAACACAGCTCACTGCATGCTTTAAAATGGTTCTTGACAATTGTCTGCCTTGCTCAGGGTGTGTTTTGCTGTCTGCAAGGGGTTAAACCAGAGCCGAGGTTAAACTCAGGCCTTTGCTTTCCCCCCTCAGCCTGGGTGCTGTAGCCAGAGTGTTGGGAGGCTCTGTGGTTTCTGAAATCCAAGTCCCACCCCAGACTCGGCTGAGTTACTGCTCCGTGTGGGGTGCTTCAGTGGGAATGTGTCATATCAATGCTGGCTCTGGGATAAACACTGCCTTGTGGCAGTGTGCGCTGCATCCTGATTGGAAAAAGCCCCTAGTAAATGTAATTGCTGTGTTCCATTTCATAATTAGGCTTGGCTTTCCCAATGGCCATAACGTGGTCTTTTTGAACGCGAAGTGGAAGAAACGCGATGTGCAAACACACTGTGTCACAGCATGGGGCCAGCGTGGTCATGTCTGACTCTCAGGAACAATCCCCACCTTCCTCTGCTTGCAGGGCAGATGAAGGGTAGGGAATGTGTGTATTTATAGATCTGTATGTGTACATTGTGGGTGCTGTGTGCAGTCCTATGTCACTGTGGGATCTCCTCCCACACAAGCAGCCAGTGCCTGCATCCTTGTCAGACCAGTGCTGGATTCCCAGGTCAGGGCTTTTTGTGATAGTGGCCTTATCTGAACCATGCCAAGCCTTATTCTGTAAAATACTGAGCTGTCACTAGCAGCTGGCCACCCCAGAGACCCTGATGGCATTACCTGAGCTGCAGCTCAGCTGTGTGTGTCTGCAAGACAGGAGAGGGAAGGACAGGGCTCCTGCAGAAAGGCTGCTCTGAGTGTGGGAACAGGCTGAAACAACTGAAAGGAAATATGCAAAAAGCTTGGAGGGCTGGTCATCACCTGATCTTGAAAGGAGAAAAATTACTCCTGTCCAGGTCTGACTCAAAAGTGGAAGAAAACACTGGGTTTGTGCTTGAAACTGTTAAAGTGACTTCCCTACAGCCACTGCTCCATCAGTAATACTCTTCTGAAATATTATAAGTTCAGTTTCTAAATATGAGGATACAAGTAGGAGACTCAGTAACTGCTGATGGAAGGAAGGAGATGATCTGCCTAGAGAGGGTGAGAGAGATGGCAATGGCAGAGTTGGTGGTGAAGAGCATGGCACTGGCTCCCTACACAATGTCCTGCATGATGGAGGGTGCTGGGATCACTCCTGTGCCCTGCTCACTGAGGAGGTAAAACCTGAGTCCATCAGTGCTTGTTCCTGTCCCCAGCACAGCTGTTTGCCTGCTCCAGCTGCTCTGGGACGTGCCAGGGACAGAATGGCAAACCTGGCTACCACAGTCTCCCTGAGCCTCCTTTTCTCAGACCGAGCCCCTTTCCCATCTCCCTCAGCCACTCCTGGTGCTCCAGCCCCTTCTCCAGGTCTGCTCCCTTGTCTGGACACACTCCAGCCCCTCAATGTCCCTCTTGTCACAAGAAGCCCCAAAGTGGCCCCAGGATTCCAGGTGGGGCCGCAGCAGCGCCTGCGCAGGGGACGGGCACTGCCCTGGGGCTGCTGCCACCCCAGGGCTGCCACAGGCAAGGTGAAGGCACAGAGTGCTGCCAGCGTGTCTGTCAGAGTGCCCTGTGCCCCCACAAGAGCAGCTGTCAGCCCCACATGGGACAGAGAGGCTGCTGGGCTGGAGGCGGCTCTGGGCTATCCCCCAGTGCCACCTCCTGTGTCTTTGGAGATGGCTGTGGGCATACAGCAGGGACAGAAGCACTTTGTTCCTGCTCCAATGCTCTTTTAAAACGATTTTTTAAGCCATAATTGTAACTCACTGATAGTTTACTTTCATAAATGTGGTTTTTAAAAAATCATTGCTGAAGCTACAGAAAGGGGATATGGCTGTTCCAGAGCTTCAAAATTGCTTCCTGCGTCTTCTTGAATTTTTTTTGGATTAGAAAGCTGAAATACTCCTGATGGAAGCACACCAGAGCACATGCCCTAATGAGAAACACTCTGCCCCATGTGCAGCTCTGAGACATTTCCCCCTCTTCAGGTTGGTGTTTGAGTCTCAGAACCACTGGTTTTGATCATATCCCACCCTTTATTTCTTGAAGTTTGTGTTGCTTAAGGCAGTTCCTCTCTGATTTGCCCATTTAGTGGTCAGTATTTGATGGTCTGTTTGCAGTGTTTTGAGAGTCCGGTGTTTGGAAAAACAGTTCAGGGAAAAAGGCTGGAAGAAAATATGATAATTCCTTGTAGATGGCGCAAAATATTTCTTTGCCAGAGAGAAGGCAGAGGAGAAGGCATGATATTGGAGGGATTTAAATGGCTGTTTCCTAAATAAGTTTTTTGATGTTCTTCTGTTTGTTGAGTTGTGAATTAGTCTTAACTCATTTTCAGGATTATGACTAAATGCCATTAGTGCCCAGAAACTTCCCTTATGGTTTTGTACATTACTCTATTCAGAGCCCAGATTAAGCTCAAGTAGGAGAAAGTGACATGGTGCTGTTAATTTTCTTGTACGTTTATGGCTTCTATTGCACAACAAATGTATAACAAGTGTAACAAATAATATTGTCACAACAGAGCTTTTTTTGCATTTCACTACTTGCCAAACTCCAAACTTCTGTAAATACTGGATGATGTGTTCTGCCAGTCTCAGAAGTAATTTCCAGCAGCTCCTGGAGTGGTGACAGCCCATGATGTGAACTGGGACCAAAAACTTCCAGGCAGTTTTGAGTAGAGCCCCCCACGACATCCCCCACCAGTGCTGATGCATAAGTTCTCCTTTTACAGAAGCTGATAGTGTAGATTATAAATAATACTGTTAAAATATGATGATGAGGAGGAGGATGATTTGCTAGTACAGAAAAATAACATTGTTAAAGATAGGTGAGATGGATGGATGGATGGATGGATGGATGGATGGATGGATAGATAGATAGATAGATAGATGGATGTTTAAAGATGATGGTGAGAAGGAGGAGAAGGAGGAGGATGATGATGATGATGGTTGGTATAGAGACACTGCTCTGTCAGGGATTCTGCTGTGGGCTTTGGGAAGTTTGCTGAGCTCTGCCCAGAGTCCTGACAGCCACAGGGGCCTGCCCACATCTCCCTGGCTCCTGGGCCATCTGCCCACATCTGAGGTGCTCTTTGTGCTGTTCCTGTCCCAAACAATTTCCCACTGGCCCTGGTGGTATGTGCAGCTACTCAGAGGAATCAGGGGGTCTCTCCTAGCACGACTGCCAGGCAGGAGCAAGCTGCCTGTGAGGAGTTGGTGTTTCTGGAATCACTGAGTGCTCTGGCATCTCTCCCTGTGCCCCACAGCCAGCCACCTGCCTCCCCCAGCACGCAGGAAGCCATCCAGGGCATGCTCTCCATGGCAAACCTCCAGGCCTCAGAGTCCTGCCTGCAGACGTCGTGGGGCACCAATCAGGCGAAGAACAACTCCTTCTCCACACAAAACTTGAAGAAAACTGGTGGTGGTGGCAGCAAAACCGCTGGGAAGCGGCTGCTGAAGAAAAGCACAAAGAACAGCATCGACATCGAGGACTACGACGAGGACCAGGATCACTTGGATGCCTGTTTTAAGGACTCAGATTATGGTGAGTAAGGGGAGCAGAGTGACACACCTGGGACACACCTGTGCCTTTTGCTGAATGTCCCTTTGCTCCTGGGTGCTCCCTCTTGCTCTGCCACCCTGGGATCAGCTGCGCAAGGAACAGGGCCCTGCACACCAAAGGGAGCAAACACATGGGACAGCAGACTGGCTGCAGAGCCCAGGGTCACACAGCCATCCAGGCAGGCTGGATTTGAGGCATGGCACGATGAGAAACTCTCAAGAAACATGGAGAGCCCCAAAACTGCAGCAGTCAACCCAGAACGAGGGGACTGTCCCAGAAATGTGGGTCAGGTACTGCTACTTGTGACAGAAATGTCCTTGTCTGCACAGTAGCAATTAAACCTCCAGCTGAGAGGAGTGAGAAGTTGAATTTGTACATGGAAAAGGGATCTAATGCTGTTTTGAGTTTTGGCAGAGAAGGCAAGCATCTGCAGCAGAAATGGACACAAAGAGAGTTTACAGCAGTTACATCAGTTCTGCCATAATTATTGTGGAATCATAGAGTGGTTTAGGTTGAAAGGGACCTTCAAGGGCTGTCTAGTTCCACCCTCTGCCATGGGCAGGGACACTTTCCACTAGGTCAGGTTGCTCCAAGCCCTGTCCAGCCTGGCCTTGGACACTTGCAGTGATGGAGCAGCCATAGCTTCACTGGGCAGCCAAGTTGGTCTCGATGATTCTTGTGGCTCCCTTGCAGCTCAGGATATTCTGTGATTATAGAGGAATATAGAGGGCCAGTCACAGTTTAATGACAGCAGCTCCCAATAGTAATGTGTGGATGAGAGCACAGGAAAGTCCCCAGAGTGTCACAGCAGTGACAGAAGTGCTCAATGACACTTGTGGAGATCATCTATCTATAAATGATATCTATAGATATCATAGATAGATATCTATCTATCTGTGATGCCTGTGGTCGCTGCACCTGGACAGAGCAAGGGCCCTCTGTGCAGGGTAGAGCTGTTTCCTAAACTGAAACTCTTGCCTTTGTTTCCTACTGTAGTTTACCCTTCTCTCGAATCAGATGAAGATAATCCAGTATTCAAGTCCCGATCAAAGAAAAGGAAAAGTTCAGATGATGCCCCTTACAGTCCCACGGGTAAGTTGGTGTGCTGTGCTGCCCAGACTAAGTCATGCAAATCTCTAAATTTTTCAAAGAGTGTGGAAACTGTAACACACAATTAGTGATTTCTTTATCATGCGAAGTTTAACCCTTTCCAGGGCAGTGGGAGGTGATCCAGGCACTGGGATTCCTGCCAAGCAGTTTTAGCCTTCCTCCTGCAATCAGCTGGCAGGAGAAAGTAATTCCTTGGTTGGTTTAATTTTTCCTCACACTCTTAGTGATAGATCATTTGGTTGCCACCTTAGCAGTGATGCAACAGTGAATCAAGCCCTGGACAGCTGAGTTGCTGTGGATTTCAAGTGTTGGCTGTGGCAATAAGTCCAGGAGAGAGAGCAGGAATAGTCTCCTCCAGGTTCAGCCGAAGCTCATGATCTGGAAGGATTTGGTCTGCCCTGGGTTTGTTGGAGCTCACCAGGGGCAGTGACAGGCAAGAGGGCCCCTAGACCCCTTTGACCCCTGTGGCCCATGAGCAGGGCATGGTCTGTGTGTGCTGTGTGTGACAAGCAGCCCATGTGTGTGCTCTCATCAACTTGTGGCCCTGCATGTCCTCCTGCAGCTGCAGGTGAGCACAGTGCTTTGGAGATAACTCTCATCATCCAGGATGTGGGCACAAACCTGCGTGGCTTTGGCTTCAGGTGGCTGTGGAGCTGCTCAGCTGTGTGCCATCTCTATCAGCAGCCTCTGCCCGTGCCACCGTGCCTGAAGGCCGCTGGCTCTCGTGCCCTCACTCGTCCCTGGGGAAGGGAAGGGCAGAGGCTGTCCCCATCTCTCCTGGCTGGGCAGGGTAGAGCCTGGGGGCTGTGCTGCTCCCTCGGGCACATTCCTGCCCCTCACCTGCCTCTGCTCTCCCTGCAGCACGGGTTGGCCCCTCGGTGCCCCGGCAGGACAGACCGGTGCGAGAAGGCACGAGAGTCGCCTCCATCGAAACGGGACTCGCCGCCGCCGCCGCCAAGCTGTCGCAGCAGGTGAGAGGCTGCCTGGGGAGTAGGAGCTATCAGGAAAGCAGAGCCCTGTCCCCAGCAGCAGAGCTGTGCCTGAGCCTGGTGCTTTGCTAGCCCTGCCTACTGTTTGGTCCTGCCAGTGACATGAGGCTCTGCAGTCTCAGGGAAATAAATGGAATCCAAGCCCAGCGGTGTCACAACATACCTGAGCATGGCACAGGGTAGCAAGGGACAGAGAAAAGCACAGGGAAGGATGGGGGGTGTGAGAATGGCTACTGGGACAGAACAGGAGAAGGCTGCCTCAAAGGAGTGTATTTGATGTGTATCTGAGAGCCTGACTGGTGTGATTGCCTGTCTGTGCAGATTGGTTGCTGGGAAGTGTCAGGGTTTGCTTCCGAAGGATTGGTGAACTGAGAGCAAAGGGCGAGTTTAGGAAAGGAACTGGAGCAGTTTGGATGTTTGGTAAGTGTCTGGTCTCTGAAGGGGTCAGAGAAGCCCTGTAAAGGTGACGTGGTGAGATGCTGAGGTGACAAGGTCTGCTGGAGCGAGGTTGGTGAGGCACCTCAGCAAGCTGGCGGAGATGCAGGTTGTGGTGGCCTCGGGCTTCTGCGATGTGGACTATGGAGTAGAAGAGCTTTAAGGATGGTGGCAGGGTTCCAAGAAGAAGGAACTGAAAGTAGACAAGGGACACAGGACAGTAGCAGACCTCTGCCATGCCAGTGTGCATGTCCAGGTGCAGTTACAGGTCAGGAGATGATGTGTGTGTCCTAGCAGGAAGCAGAGGCTGAATCAGTGGGATGTTCAATATCCTTCATGCTGTTGTGCAAGGGTGTGAAGATCCCCGAAGATAGGAGGTGCCAGTTTTTGTGGAAGATGGAAAGCTTTGCCCATGCTGACCACGCTGCTGTGCCAGGGCGGTGTCGGTGCGGCCCCGCTGCTCCCGCTCGCCGCAGTGTAAGGACGAGGAGGCCCCGCACAGAGCGAGGATGTAGAGGCACGAGAGGCAAACGTGTGTGTGCAGCTGTGAGCCAGACGTGTGGAGCAGCCCCGAGCGCTTGTCCGTGGCCAACTCCTGGCGTGTCATTGTATCAGGACCCTAAGCAACGCCGCTGGCCCTTGCCCTAGCTAAAGGTCTTCTGGGGATTAATCTGAGCTTCATCTTTGTCATTTTAAAGGAGGAACAAAAAGGCAAGAAGAAAAAAAATACCAAAAAGAAGCTGTCAGCCCCCAACGCAAGCAAAGCGGCTCAGGAAGGCAGCTCCCCCGAGCCGAAGCTGGAGTCACAGGCCAGCAGCCTCACAGATCACGAGTACACCGCAGGGGCCAGCACCTTTGGGGTCGCCCAGCCTAACAGGGGATCGCAGCCGATGGCACCCGGTGTTTTCCTCACACAGAGGAGACCCTCATCATCCTCGCAGAACAATGCCTCCGCCAAAGGTACCAGGAAACGCCTGGCTTGTGGTGCAGGAGTGGGGAAGGGTGAAGGGCCATGGAACCCCAGCCTTCCGCAGGGCCTGCACTGCAGTGTGTGGTGTGGGCAGGCACAGGTGCAGCTGTGTGGATCCAAGTCAGATCTAGTCAGGGGTAGGACTCATGGCCGGGACTGTCCTGGCACTGCAGGGCCAGGCAGTGTTTCTTTGCTGGGCTCTTGGCTGCAGGCTGTGAGGTGTCCCTGGCAGGAGTGCTGCCCAGCCTGGCCCCAGCTCAGGAGGAGCACCTGCAGGGTCACATCCAGACAGCCAGGCCAGGGGAGCCATGGCCAGGGCAAGATGCATACATGAAGGCTGTTCTGCCCAGGGCTGGTGCAGGCACTGTGGTGTTGGTGCTGGCTGTACACCAGCTCTGTGCTGGCTGTAGCTGAGGACAGTGCTTGCAGGACATGTAGAGCAGGGCACACTGCAGATCTCTCTGGAGGGTTGCCACAAGGAAGCAGAGGAATATCAAACCTTGGGAGTAACATAGCTACAACCAAAGGCAGGAGAGAGGAAGAGGTTGCTTGCTGTCTGTCATAGGGAAAGTGTGAGAAAGCTGAGGCTCTCAGAGTCTACGCTGGGACCACCTGCTCTCCATTTGAACTTGGCTCAGGAAAGTGTAACTGAGGCAGGTGTGTGGGACAGGCACTGCATAGCATGAGAATTGTGTGTGATCCCACTGGGAAAGGCCCCAGTGACAAGTGAGGCAATGTGGCAGATGTTTCCTGAATTCCATGTATTCGAGTGGAGCAGATTAGAGGTAGTGCACAGTACCTGGTAGCTTGGATGGCCATAGGGCAGGATGTGTGTAGCCTGTGGCAGGGGCTGGGGTCCTACCAGGAGCTGGTGGTACCTGTGGCTCTCTGCAGGGCTGGAGTGGAAAGAATGCATTTGGCTGGAATTGTGCTTTTGTGGTGAAATGGTGGGAAACAGGTTCAAGGCAGAGAGATAGCCAGGAGCCTGGAGCTGTAAAGAGCCATAGGGCATGTGTCTGTGTGTCTGTGTGTCTGCGTGTCTGTGTGTGCAGCCTCTCCCTGAGGAGCAGAATGGCACTGGCAGGGCTGAGTTTGACTGTCACCCTGTGGGCAAACAGGTGACCAAGAGCAGTGAGCCAGGGCAGGTGAGAGTGCAGGGCAGCAGGGCTGGCACTGCAGGGGCAGGAGGGTGCCCGGCAG